TATACATACACCTACACACGAGCTGGTCACATGCCGTAGCTATGCAGTGTTGGCAAGCAAAAAAGCTAACGGCGGTATGTAAAAAAAAATAAGCTAAAAGTTTCCTACTGCTCAAATTATAAAGCTGCCACTTAAAGATTATAAAGCTGGCAACGTTTTGAATATCGTCCCTTCCTAATTTCTGCTGTATTTGCATTATTATTATTTATTTGCAACCACACTAACCTAAATAAACGGCCAGATTTGACGGAAAAAGGCAGAGTTGGCTACACTGTTTGGCATCACAAGTAAAATGTTAATTGTGTCAGATTTTTCTCCCGCACGGCAACAGGCTAAAACTCCAAAGCCCCAACACTTCCCATTAATACAGTTTCAGGGTCTATGTCGCGGTCAGCATTAAATGGAGCTAACGGCTTATGCTATGACTAATTCCATTGCATGCAGTTATGCGAACTTGAACAATTTGTTGCATGTGAGAGCAAGCTACATTGGAATGAGTAAGTCACCTACACGAGCAGACTGACACGCACACACACACACATTTTAGAGAGTGATTACATGAAAGGCCCAACAAGGCGACAATGTCATCTAGCTGCCGGCCTTGGTGAGATATAAAAACCACTTTTTCTATAGGAAATGCATTGGAAGCAGGCCAAATACTGATGATTTTGTCTGTGTGTGTGTGTGTGTGTGTGTATATGAGGATGCGTGAGAGCAGGTAACAACAGAATTAGGACAGTGTTCTCGCAAGAGTTGAATTGATTACATAAGCGAACTGCGATTTTTCCACAAAATGAAAACGGCATCAAGTGGGCAATGAAATCGCAACTTGCTTGGCAACCACGTGGCGCGCAAATTAAAATTCTACGAAATGGAAGCGAAATTTTTTCATTAGCTAAAGCGTGGGAGCGAGATAGCAAATGATCGTGTGCTCCTTTTGACACTAGGTTTGCTCATGTAATCGACTCGCGCTCTTTTTGATGTCAATGTGACTCTTAATATATACATACATATACATATGTATAAAATTATGTCTGATATTTTGAATAATAGTTGTTAACTTTTGCACTTTATCGCACATTTTTAGCATTTACATTAACACATTTATACACATACACACACACACACACACACACGCACCCTTGCATAAACAGTCACACGTTTATGTAACGCAAACAACCCCCAAAAAATATATATTTTGCATGCGATATTTTTTGCTTATACACTTTGCACATAAATGCGATCATAAATTATATAAGAAATTCTCAAGGTACATTAGTATTTATCACACAATCATTTGAACACACTTAATCAATAACTCAGGGTTTTAAATATTTTTATATTTACGTCATTGCTAAACTCCGGCTACTTACATTGAACACAAACCGTCGTTTAATGCGAACAGTTAGCTTGCGAATGAGACAAAAAATCCCCACTGGCCAAACTGATTGGCACCGATTATAACCGTTATCGTATTGAAATATCGATAACATACATTTATATAGAAATAAACGATACTCAACCATGACATTGAATTTATTTAAAAATTTACATATACGAAAAAAATTAAAATTTTTTAGCTGATACGTTTCATACGTAAACTGCAAATGTAAACAGTAATGTAAGCCCAGAGGCACACTTGCTAAACATTTACCTACAAATTAATTATGGCTCTTTTCAATATTTATTAATTTTTGAAGTTTTTATAATATATCGATATTTTTTACATAAACTATATTCGTGCACATCCATTTTGCTTACTGCTATGGAACTTTCAAAAAAAGTGTATTGCCCGCTGTTATCAGCTGTTATAACTTGATCGAATTTTATTGTCGTTTTTTAATAGTCTGAATAATTCCAAACACGCCCACGTTCAACTATGAAATATACATGATTTTACACTTACAGTAATGTTATAAAAAACTGGAAAATTAAATTATTAAAATTAAAATCTGCTCAAAGGTACGGCACAAAGCTAAATGCTATGGCACGCTGAGTGTTGCAAGACACTATTTGTTTTATATGTAGGCGCGAACATTTAAATATAATTTAAATTGAAATTTTGGCATAGAAAATTCTGATCATGCTTCAATAAAGAAAATAAAATTGATGTTGTATGTGAGCTTTAATTGTATTCCATAATATTAAAAATAAATCGAAACTATTTAATTATTTAAGATGGCTCCCTCCCCAATTTTTGTTGTTTTTTGTCCCTTAATTATTTATTTGATTTGAGGAAAGCAATCAAATCTGCGCGGTCCTCAGCCTTTTTGAGTCCGGGGAAAACCATTTTAGTACCGGGTATATATTTCTTTGGATCCTTTAAATACTCATCCAGATTCGCATCTGTCCAGACAACGCCCTTTTTGATATTGGCATCAGTATATTTGTAGCCAGCAGCAGTGCCGCATTTGCGCCCAACAATTCCGCTCAGATTAGGACCCTGCTTATGCTTGCCACCTGGTTCAGCTGTGTGGCATTGGGCGCATTTTTGAACAAAGATCTTCTTGCCATTCTCCGAATCAGCACCCATGTTTGAATGTGGTTTGCCTATAATAATAAAAAAAAAGTTAGTTAGTTTTCTTTGCGAGCTTTTAACTAATGGTTTCCTTAAAACAAAGCCTGGCGTGGCCTTCAGCTCACGCCTCAAGGACATTGCTGACATGAGAGGGTGCGGTAGGCAAAAGGTGGGCGGCTGGGCGGGTGGATTGGTTTTTTTCGTCGCTCCTTTGTTGAGCTTATGTCACGACAACGTCAGCCTGAGCCACGCAGTCTGCCAAGTTAATTGCCTGGCGCAGAATGTGGGTGTGAATGTGGGTCGTTACGTGCGTGCATGGTAAATGTGGAAAACGTGGCTAACTGCAGTAGTGGCCGCTTACTCACATGCAAAAAATAGAAGCCGCCGTCATAACTAGCAATTTATACATATGCATACATATGTATGTATGTATGTATGTGCATTCATATGTATTCAACACAACGCATTTTTCGCCAATTCATCTTGAGCATTCTATTCTATTTATAGCCGCCAACTTTTACAGACAATTTAATTGCCGCCCAATAAATGAATGTGTGTGAGTGTGTGCACGTCCACTTAAATTTAATTAAATATGTATCGATGATGACAAACATGATGACAACTGCACGCTCTCTGAGCTTTTTGTTGCTATTATTTTTTGACACTCTCAGCTGCACACAGCTGTTTATACGAGACAAAGATAGCAATAGCTTAGGAATTGGGTCAGACAAATGAAAATGGGTAAAATGGAACAAAGAGCAAAGCATGGCGCACGACTTTTGCGTCAAAGTCTAATGGCACAAGTAAACGGCGGCCATAAACAACGGTAAATATGTTATGTATGTACATATGTGCATATGCACAAGCACATGCATGTTGTATGTACATAATTCAATTAGCTGGAGCCCTTGAGCAACGCAGCCCACGACGAAATGTGCTTTGAACATTTCCTTTCAATTAAAACGCATTTTACGCATGTTTCTTGCGGTTTACGCAAAACCAGATGCCGCCAAACACAAAAGCACAAAATACAAAACAAAACAGGAAGCAGTGTAAGAGGAAGAGAGCTTAAGCGAAAGAGCAAACGGCAGAGGAAAACTGTTACCTAAAATGTGTTGGTCTCTTGTGCTGCCTTTAGCGGTTTGCATCAGGTGTTTTACCTACTCTCTGGCCTGACCTAACCCAATTTGTGTTAACCATAAATCTTGCACAGACTACGCCTGCTGCTGATGCTGCGGATGTGGCCTGCAGTCGCCTCCTGACCGATGACCACTATAAATAAATGACGCGTGGAATTGAATTACGCTTGAGATAACAATTCGTATGGGGCGAATAGGGAAAGTTTGGCGCCGGCGACGAGTTGGCCAGGGCTGGAGAGATGCATTGCAGCTGCAGTCTATATGAAGCATGTAGCTGTGTCATGGGGACAAACAGAATATACCACAAAAAAAGGGGGGGAGAAAAAGAAAAATGAAAAAAAAACCATTCGCATTGCTCACGTGGATTTGTTGCTGTTGCGCAATTTCTTTTTGGCTTTGATGCCCGAAACCAACCAACCACCCACCCACCCACAAAAACACCCGCTGTTATGGGCTATGTGGCTGCATAGAAAAACCCTACGTTTTCATTGTGTATGTTTCAAAATGTTTATTTTGTGTTGTTCCTGTGCTCTGCTGACGCTGCTGCTGCTGCTGTGGGGCTGCCTTTTTTCTAGAACGAGGTCGCTGACTGCCCTTCAACGCATTGCCTGAGACTGAGACGACGTCAAGTTACATAAGCAACAGCAGCAGCAGCGTCGTTAGTTGGCTTTGGCTTTTATGCTACTCTTGCCAAATTTCCCCCATTTCAAATTTACATGCAGCGCACACGGAGAGAGAGAAAGAGAATGAGTGAGAGCGCCAGCAAAGAGCGTGTGCCGTGCAGCTGCATTAGTAGCGTGGGAAAAGTGAATGAAAAATGTCTTTAAAATTTTACCAAGCGATGTGCATCAATTTATAACGTTTTTTTTTCAACTTATGCACCCAGCTACGTACATACCATATTACATATTTATATTAATGCGCTGCATGTGAGTGCAGCGCGTGGGCAGCAGCAACAAATAGTAACAACACAACTTTACGCTCACCTGATTGACGACTCTCTCGAGTAACGGTCTGTGCTTGTTGCTCTGCCTCCCACTATTCTTATGCTGAGCGCCAAGCTGCGCTGCTGTCGCTGGTTTGCTCTTACTCTCTTCGCTGCTTTTGCTTTTTAACGTTAAGGCTGCTGCTCGAGCGCTGCGTGCGTTTTCATTCAGTCAACTGAGCTCGCGGCGCAAGGTTCTCGTTTGTTTTGGCCTCTGCTATTCTCAACAGTTCGTTTTGTTGGCAAGTTTTACGCGTCGTGTGAATTGGGAATAAAACAATTGAAAAGTTACGACGATTTTGCTTAATAGAACGGAAAATTTGTTAGCAGCATTTACGTCGAAAGCTAGCTGCGTTCTGATCTGTTCTGTCTGATTTCTCAACATACACTCCGACAAAACTTAGGCGACATCTGTCACAAGCCTGCTAGATTCCAATAAAAATCCACACACATATCAAAGCGTAGCGTCTCGAAAAGGCGCTGCCAACTCCTGATTTTACGGTAAGTCTTGCCAACTTCGCATGCAAATTCAGTGTTGTGTAATGCTGTCTAAGCGTAGCATTAGAAGGCGTCACTTCATTTGTGTCCTTCGGTGGCTCGTGTCCTTGAAAGCGTAAAAACCAAGTGGGTATCATCTATGTGTGTGTGTGTGTGCGCGTGTGTGCGAGCTAGGTTGTTACGCATTTTACGTAATCAGTCCAACTTTATGGTTCGCGTTTCACTCAATCGTAAATCTGAGCTCGTTTTTCATTTGTTTTTAAGACCCAATTTAAGTTAAAACGCAGTTCCTTACTATGGCTTATTTCTTCTTAATATTAAAAGAATTTGCTTGGTAAGCTGATGGAATGTGGTCAGAATATAAACTTGGGATGCGGACGTTGAGAATCTGTGTGGCATGATGCATGCGATAGAAACGCATGAATGTGGCAACTGTTGCTCTGAAATATAAAGATATTTGAATGCTAATAGAATATATTCAGAACTGTTTCAGGAATTTCTCATGATTTCAAAGTTAGCTATTTTTGATTTAACTTAAGCACAAGAGACTTCTGAAGGCATTATGCAATCACTAAATCAATATTTTCCTTATAAAATTGCACATAAATCCAAAAATATTTTATTTTTTTAAGGTATACAAAGAATTTTGTCTGCTAAGATATGCAAATTTTTGGGAAGATTTAGTTACGAAAAATAAACAGACTATATGAACTGTATGTAATGCTCCTTGTGCATAACGTATGCTAAATTAAAGTAAAATATTAAAGTTATTTAGCTGCTATGAAGTGCAATTAATTATTTCTGCCATCTACAGATGCTGCTCTGAGTAATTTGCTTGGCATGTTGATGAAGTTTTCTAGAGCACTCGAAAGAATGTTAATTTCATCTCACATATTGCTTCTTTTTTTTTTTTCATTTTATGTTCACATCAATATGTCCTTTCAGCTGGTTTGCCGACTCTCAGGCAACGTTAACAATGTGCTTTGTTTATTAATTACTTTGGCTCTTTGCGTTAGTTGCATTGCCTGCTTGTATATAGGCCAATGAACATTGTGGCCTGCTTGATATGTGTGGTCAGCCTACTTTGGGTTACGCCCACTGTACACACAGCAGGCATCAATTGTGGCTATCATATTGTTATTAATTCGTTTTATGTGCCAGCACTTAAAGTACATCATTTATATTAATTAAGAGTGGCGCAGTCACATAAACGCTGGCATATTGAACGAATGTTAACATTTTGCCATTTAATTGATTTTTACTGGGCATAAATATACGTATGTAGTATATACCAAAATAGTGCGTCATAATTCCATATAGTATCTGTAAACGTTCCCAGCTGTGCTTGTATTTAATTCGGGTCAACTCCAACGCGGGCCACATTGCCCAATCTCTTATGTGTACCGCACTTCTGCCATATCGTTAAATGCACTTGGTTCCAAAAAAGTACAAAGAATTATTCCCGAAATAAGTACATGTGGACACACATACAACATACGCACACATCTGTGCCGCAATGAGTACCCGATTTTCGAGTATGAATACTCCTATTTATCGCTATGTTATCGCTGAGGTTACATTTACAGCCAAGCGACTCGGGGAAATCAATATTTGTGGCCCAAATAAAAAAGTATAAAGAGCCCAACAACAAATGAAACCCAAAGCGAGGCATTAAGCAGATTATATCATTCGGGGGGCGTGCGACCACTTGCCCGATAAGACACAGTTTTCCCTAATATTTTTCCCCCAAACTAGCTCGTGTGCATTTTTTATTAACAAACATGCAATAAACTGAAATGGAGTGCGTTAATTTATGGCAGTTCCATAGTCAACGGAAAATTCAGATTTGGGACCATAAGTGTTCGCTATGGTCTGAATTGAAATTCCACAGAGGCCATGAAAATGGCACTCACTTAATAACTTCTTTTCAGGGTGTTTTTATAAACTTGTTGCCTTTTGATGGTGGGATTATAAATATTTTATACATAATTGTTAGATTGAGGGAAACAGGGTATATCGATGAGAAATAAGTTAGAAATTGTTGTATTGTAAAAATCTATTATTCATTTAAAAATAAAAATAATACAGAATTATGGGGAACAGATTATAATGAATTATAATGTCAAAACGTAATGGAACGAGATATTATCTTATATGATAAAATTATTAAAAATAATTGTAAATTTTTTATTAATTGAATAATAATTTAATGATAAGATATATTATATAAATATCTATATAATACATTGTATTATATATACTATATATTATATTATATTATATGCAATCTACGTTATATAATAGCCCAATGTTACCAAGAAGTTGCGAGATATTTGGTTTGAGTTTGGATAAAATACTTTCAAAACGTAGTTAAGAAAATGTACAGAAAATAGACTCTCAATCGATTATTATGCTATATTACATAGTAATCTGATGCTTATAAGTTTTTGGAAAAATCTTGAAAGGGAATTAGTTTTTGCAAAGTTTGCTCAAGATATCTGGAACTACAAACACGTTTCTGCATGCACAATCTAGCCAACTACGACCTAAGTACTGCTCCGAAAATCGCGGATTTAAAAGCAAAATATTCTAAAACTAGCTTTAAGACTGAGGTATAAATTTGCATAGAAAGAAACAGACATTAGCGTATGGCCAATAACTCAGTCTCAGTCTTGTCGACCTGATCAAGAATTTATACTTTATGGGTTTCACATAATAAAAAGATGAAATCTACACCTCATAAGCGTAGAAAAATTAAAACTAACACATTTTTCTTAGGAAAGTTTTCAAATAAAAACCTCATTTAATGCATATTTCTTTTATGTGCTCGGTTTCAATTCTCTTGTATCTTAAATGGGTTTCAATCAATTGTCAAGACTCGTTCTATTGGAGCTGAGTTATGTTGATGGCATGAATAAATCTTATTTATTCAAATTGTTTCTTGGCTATGCAAAACATTTGCAAACATTGATTGAATGCGATTGACATCAAGTTAATGACTAGCCAGCACTTGTAGCTTATTTAGAATTTGGCCCAACTCCAGGGCTCCGAGAGTCAGCTCGCAGCTGAGTGCAGAAATTGAAAATGTACACAAATTAAGCTGGAGAAATAAACAAGGCTGGAGTGCTTCATATTGATGATATGCCAGGAAAATGCGAATGATATTTATTAAATTTTGATGGGCAACTGCGCGCACTTGTCAGACAGACAGACAGACAGCTGGGCAAGACTACGATTGACTGACGGACTGACTGACGGACTGATTGACGGACTGACAAATCATGCCAATTAGACTTAAACGAAAATCGATGAGCATTTCGCGCCCAACTCATCCTATGTCAACTCTAGAAAAGGTCAAATTGTTAAGGGCGTATTCAGTTGATCAAATATGCAAATGGTGCTCAGGTCAATTTCATTAGAGGTGTGGCTCAGGTGTGCGAGTGTGCGTGTGGTCTCAGTCGCAACAAAACTAACAGTCATCTCTGTTTGCTCACGCCGCACGTTCACAGGAAAAACAAGTAAGAGTGCTTTACTCGGGATGTCCGACTAGGGGATACCCTGAACCTTTTTCTACCAAAAGAAACTCGGGCTTGCTTGCTGTATATAATATTCTTGAAGCTAGATGTCAAATTTGGTAAATATTGCCATTGAAATCAAAGATATTTGTTAAAAAATCAGAATTATCGATTCTTATCGATAACTTCGAAAAAGGGCCAAGTTATCGATTATCGGACTCAAACTGGTGCTGCGCGGGAACTTGCAGGAACTACGTTGAAGTTTCTAGTTCTTATAGGTTCCGAGTTTGCATAAATACGGACGAACAGTTGGACATGGCTAGATCGACTCGGTTATTGATGCTGACCATGAATATATATACTCCATGGGATCAGAGATGCTTCCTTCTGTCTGTTACATACATTTGCTCAAAAGCATAATACCCTTTTTACCCATTTTTTCAATCGGTTCAAAGGGTATATAAAGAGAAGCCAATACAAACACTTGAGCTTGCGTGTGGTATGAAAACTGAAAAACTCAACTAGTTTTTTTTTTGTTTGAATTTTATGTGCTTTTTGTTTTTGTAAATTAATTTCGAGCACGTTTGTTTTCGTCGCTAGTTTTACGAGCTTTACAAATGATGCTGAAAATTGTTTACCAAATCATTTGAATGAAGGCCATTAGTTGCGCTGCCTTCGCGGCATTTCTTATCAGGCGCTTCAAGCAACACACATTTTCCCATCATTATATAAACAGCTGGCCCCCTCTTCCCTCCCCACCCCTCACCTAAAACCGCGGCCCCTTAACGAGTGCGATTAGGGGTCTCAGCTAATGAGCCACAGCGCGAGCATCGCAATTTCTTGTGGCCAACTTTGAACTTCATGGGTTTTTCTGTATTTGCTTCCGCTATTTATTTATTTATTGATTCTCCTCTATTGTTTATTATCGTAACTGTTTCTGTGCGCATTTTATGCGCAATAATGTTCAAACATTTGCAATCTGTAGTTGAACGCGGCGTATGCGCAATATCTGGCCAAAGCAGGAAACGCAGAACGCCGCCAGGTCTGCGTTTCTGTACGTAATGTGTTTGGGATGTGTCTGTAATTGTGACCATGTCTGGATTGTTTTTATCGATTTACATAAATACACAAACGGGGTGCGTAGATTGATATACTCATGCGTTCGGTTTGAGCGTAATTGTTGTTTGAAAAGTTTAAACAAATCATCAAAATGCTAACAAAACATGTGGTGGAAAATAATGTTGATGCATTTGTACACACAATAAATTACGTTGATTTTTATTCGATTTAGTCATAAAGTGTTAATGAAGGCCTGTTTTATTCGTGTACCTGTATTTATATATTTGTGTATTTATTTATAGATTATATGTGTACCTATATTAATATATTTTTATATGTGTACCTATATTTATATATTTTTGTATGTGTACCTATATTTATATATTTTGTATATTTATTATCTTATATATTTATAGTTTCTGCTGGCAA